GATTTTCTACAGAGAAAACCTTGTTATTCACAAGATTTTCTATAGAGAAAACCTTGTTATTCACAAGATTTTCTATAGAGACAACCTTGTTATTCACATTTTCTATAGAGAAAACATTGTTATTCACAAGATTTTCTATAGAGAAAACCTTGTTATTCACAAGAATTTCAATGGAGAAAACCTTGTTATCCACAACTTTTTCTAAACATCGCAATTCACAACATTTTCCATTGAAAATATTGTTATCCACAACATTCGGAATACCTTGTTCTCTATCAGATTTTCTATATAGAAAACATTGTTATCCACAACATTTGGTCTGGTCAAATATTCAAATCTATTCGAAGATTCGAATTTATTTCAATCGTTTAAAAAATTGTTGACTTCTGCCCACCACATACAACCCACAATTTGTTGTCAATCGCGTAATTCTCGCTCCCCCATATCCATTGCTGATCTCATTGTTGGTGGCGCTAGGTCAATTACATGAGCACATAATTCTATTAAATTATCAACAGCATTTGATTAATAACTATAATAAAAAAAAAATGTTTACATTCTTCGTAAAGAGCTGACATCAGTTCTTTGTAAAGAAAATACACAACAACAACAAAAACAACCTCAAATGCATATGGAAAAATTTGCTGATAACATTTTTTTTCATTTAACACTTTAACGCTTACTTTCAGTTGGAATTATTTTGCCATACACCGGAACCTTCTCTCTCTCCTCCCTCCCTCTCTCCCCGTCTCATCCTCAGTACTACAACTTGTTAATTGCTCATTATTGTTTTTATGCTATTATTTTTCGTTGTTAACTAAATAGATTATGTAAATATATGTGGTAGGATATGATTAGGGTTATTTGTTACCAAAAGACAAAAAAAACACTGCATGACGAGACGGCCAATTGAGTAGCAAAGTTTGAATTTATTAAAAAAAACACAAACATGAAATACATTTGGAGCGTGAAGAAACAGTGGTCGTGTACAGAGCTGTGGTCATCATCAGTCAGTCGTTGGTCGCTTGCCATAGTCCAGGTATAAATCAGCAGAATTGCATGAACTGAACAGTCATCCAGTGGCGAGTTCTTTAACCGTGATAGGGCAAAGTTTTTTTTTTTAATTTTGTGGGAATTATGGTTTTTTGTTTCCATTTCAATTTCATTGCATTTCAGGCACAAAAATAACTTTCATTATCGCTACCTTATTTTAAGAGCTCAACATAATCTCTACTGGCAACAACAAACATTTTAATGGGAAATTATTTTTATCTACCCTAAGCTTTTCTACGAAGTGTGATGTGACTTTAATACATTTTTATTTACTTGAGAAAAAAGGGGATTGAAATATTTGGATCTTTTTCCTACTTTAGCTCAGTTGAAAGAAAACAAGGAAATCTCGATTTTAGTCTATTTAAAATATATAAAATGATCCAAAAATAGCTTCTTTGATTTTGATCGAGTTTTTGATTATTAATCCCAAGTGGATTGGCTTTCGATTTTTTAATTTCAATTCGAAAATAGTGTTGTTCAAAAAGAGATTTGCGCCCAATACATCCTTTATGATATTAAATTTACGTACAAGAACTTTTTGATGATGCAGATGGCATCATCAAAAAGTTCTTGTACGTTCAATGTTACTGAAGCCAGTGTCCAAAAATTAACAATTTTTGTTTTAGTTTCAAAACGGAAAACTATGTGTTTCTAATGGAAACCTGTACCTTAATATTCCAAAGAGCAAAAATAAAATATAAAATTAAACGCACGCCATCTATATGAGCAATCCATTTTCGAGCGAAAATTCTAAAAATGCTCTTGATATTGAATTATATAACATAAATAATGTCATATTGATATTTGGTTCAATTATGTTGAGAACTTTTTCAAATTTTCAAAAAGGAACGATGAATGCCATCTATAGTTCAATATCATTCTAAGTTTTGCTTTTGAACCTCTAATACCAAATAACATTACTGTATAAGTGAACAATAATCGGATAAAGATGTACATTGAAGGTACATAAAAATCTGAACTGATATCGATAAAATTTGGCAAAGGTATTTTCGAGGTGTATCTGATGGCCGGTATCAAATATCATTCTTGTGGGGTGCATATTACGCAGGTGAGGGACTTTAACACCAAATCGGATATAACATATATAAGGAAACTATAGGTATATCTGAACCGATCTTCACCAAAATTTGAAGAACTTGCTTCTGGGTTGAATTCCGTCCGAAGTGCCAAAATTCAGTCCATTTGGGCTGATATTTGGTCGGTCGGATGCAACATATTTATGGGAGCTATAGGTATTTCTGAACCGATTTTCACAAAATTTGAAGTACTTGCTTCTAAACTGAATAAGGTGCAATGTTCCAAAATTCAAGTGGTTTGGCCATTTTGGGCACAATTAACCCGAAATCGGTTGAAGATATATGTGGGAACTATATCTATATTTAAACCGATTCTCACCAATTTCAATAGGGTTCGTTCTTGGGCCAAACCAAAATTTTTTGGAAAATTTCATCTCAATCGGGTAATAAGTGACCTGCTTTTTGTTCACAAAAGCCTCTAAACGTACGCCATCTATGTTTCAACTTTACTTAACTTGACGTACGCCGCCTCTCTATCCACTTCTCCACGCCGAATTTAATATTGCGCCCTCTAAAGTCAAAATGGCGTCCTCTAGCTGGAATCATTGAGACCAATTGGAAATGGAACCAAGAAAGGTGAAAAAAATGAATTCTAATCAACTTCCAGAAGGGGTGGCTGAAGCTGGGATATTCAATATGATTTACAACCTGAACTGAATTTTGGAAAATGAATTATTCTTCAATAATAGAACTTGTCAAAAAGTTCTTAAAGTTATAATATATCTCAAAACGAACGCCATCTATAGTTCAACTCTACATATGGCGTCCTCTAGCTGGAATCATTGAGACTTATGGGAAATAGAACCAGGAAACAAGCGAAAAAATGATTTCTAATCAACTCCCAGAAAAGGGGTTGAAGCTGGGATTTTCAATAAGTTTTATTATATTGCAAAACGAACGCCATCTATAGCTCAACTCTATTTAGTTTGACATAAGTCGTCTCTTTAACCACTTCTTCCTCACCATGTTTTATATCACACCGCCCTAAAGCAGTGTTATTCTGTTCGAAATCTCTCAGAGAGTCTTCATATTTGAAACTAAGACTAATTTTATTCAAGGAAAGAAAACGAAACTCAAGAGAGAATACAAAAAATCTCCTCCAAAAGATAAAAATAAAAGAGACAGATGTCTAATAAATGCATCCTAAATACTATAGACTTTTTGCAGAAATGTCAGATATTCGGCATTAATTTTTATTTTATTTTTTTTTTTTTTTGGACTTCCCTTAATTTTTAGTCCAAGTATTAGAAAACCTCAAGATTTTAGGAGTACAACCACGCCTCTTCAATCTATTCAGCAACTGGAAACTCGACCGGCAATGTTTCTTTGTCTAAATTTCCTAATCTTAAATCTCAACCTTTTCTATCTGCACAAGAAATTCATTAAACCCCAAATGAATGAATATTTTTCGTTTAACCATTTGTCAAAATTATTATAATTCCTTTCGGTAACAAAGGAAGACAGTAGATCAGACTTTTTGCTGAAATGTCGGATATTCGGCATTAATTTTTAATTTTTTTTTTTATTTTCCTTAAGTTTTATTCCAAGTATTAGAACACGAGAAACTCTTCTTCTCCGGAGATCAAAATTTTAGCAGTACAACCACGCCTCTTCAATCTATTCAACAACTGGAAACTCGACCGGCAATGTTTCTTTGTCTAAATTTCCTAATCTTAAATCTCAACCTTTTCTATCTGCACAAGAAGTTCATAAAAATCCAAATGAATAGATACTTCATTTAACCCTTTGTCAAAATTATTATAATTTCTTTCGGAAACAAAGGAAGACAGTAGATCAGCAACTTATAACTCGCTTTAATAGAAAATAGCAAATCTGAATAATAATTCAAATAACGGATAAACTAGTCAATAAATTCAAATCTAAATTAATTCCATTATATTTGACAGACAGCAGTCAGTCAGTCAATGGGTTGATGCATTTAATTAAAATGATATCAAGTTTTTGAGACATAAATCAGAATCTAAATCATCAAAGACGATTTTTTCGTGTCAGACAAAATATGAAACATGAAAGCTACGCATTTTAACCCTGAACTTGACCAAACCGCTTGTGCGCGAGGCAAAGAAACAAAAACCGGCTGGGCCATGTCTGAAAATAAAACAATTTGCTGTTTTTTTCTCAACCAATTTTTTTCAACAATTTTTAATGTATTGTTGATTGTTGTTTTTTTTACTAGACCGTCGTAATTATTATTAGCCGGTTTCTTTGCCGAATCGGCAGAACAAAACCAGTTTATATTTTGTTAATTGTGTTTACCTGTCTGAAAATAAAAACACATTTTTGATGACTACCAAAAAAAAAAAAAAAAAAAACAAACAGTGTTTACATTCTTCACGTACTGCTGAAGTAGATTTTTTTCTTCAAGATTTCCTTTTTATAGATATTTTTCTCATAGAATGTGTTTTTTCTTTACTCACTCTTCTTTATGATAAGCTTTTAAAAAATGCCATAACATTATTGCAACATTTGAACTAAATTTCAAAACTGGCTCATATTAAAATATATCTTCAAAATCCAACACTTTTTACTATTCCAAAACCCCTTTTTGGTTCACTCGGGTTTTTTCTAACAACTTCTTAAGTTTCCTAGAACGTTTTGTCTCTTTCTCACTCTTTGTTTTATGGCAGTCCATAAATTATTTTCTTTCTCTATTTGGTTATAACTATTAAAATTAGCATTAGCTTCTTAAAAATAAATAAAAATTATGTTAATTATTTAACGGGTATTTTCTGTTATGTACATTTTTTAAACATGTTAAACAACATAAACTTTTTATCACCAAAAAAAAAACGGTTACTAATTATTGTTTATGTTTTCGTATCTTTGCAGATTCTTCGGATATTGTTGATTGCAAATTGAAATTGATCTTGGGCCTGATATGGACTTTGATTTTGCACTATTCCATTTCTATGCCAGCCTGGGAGGGTGAAGATGATCAACAATTGAATGGCTCGGGACCAACACCGAAACAGAGGTATGTAATTCCAAAATTCCAAAAAATAAAGTGATATTTAAACTGGTCATGGAGTTCGTTGCTTGAGGGTAGAGGTACAGGGTGAGATAAGAAAAAACTGCAACAAAGTCAAACGCCATAATTTTTACATTTTTTCTTTAAATTTTATTGAATGAAAGCAAAAAATGTCGGAAATAGCATCAAATTTAGATTTGTTCGAATTGGTCACCTTTGGCACGAATTATGGCCTTGAAACGACCAATGAAACCGTCACACGCTGTCCGAATGATGCTCTGCGGTATTTTAGTCCATTCCCGGCGAAGCGCTTGCTTGAGTTGATCGACACTTTGGTATTTTTTGTGCCAATATTGCTTCCAAAATACTCCAGATACAATAGTCCAACGGATTGGTATCCGAAGATTTTAGTAGCCATTGTGTGCTGGAACTGAAGCAAAGAATTTATTTTGTAACCATGCTGGCGCGTGCTAAGTGTGATGGTCC